GTCAAGGCTTTGACAAAGAGTCCTATAAGGTGCATGCTTGTATTCCCTGCTTATAGGCTGTCTGTTGTGTTAAGACTAACCATGAGTGTCTTTCCCAGAGATAATAGTTACTCTGTTATTGCAATAGTTTAGTTTTACTTAGGAACAAACAAAATCATACAAAATGAACTTTTGTCTTATTTCACTCAAAATGTCTATGGAATAGAGCCAGGTGTGGTGATTTATGCAGGCAGATCACTTTGAGTTTGAAGCCAGCGTGATCTATAGATTACAATCCAGGACAGCCAGGGCTGTTAAACAGAGACGACCCTGTCTCACAAAACAAAAACCAAAAAAAAAAAAAAAAAGAGAGAGAGAGAGACAGAGATCTATGGATTCATCTTGCATCTTGCTTTCAGTGTGTCAATTAATTACTGTGTTGATATTCTGTACAGTTTTTTTTTTACAGGCATTAACTATTATAAGTAAACTTGTATGCTTAGTCAGTGAGATAGCTTACTAGATATCTTGGTACCTGCTGCCAAGTCTGACAACCTGAGGTCCCTTCCCCTGTACCTGTAATTGTGAAGAGAATTGTTTCCGAGAGTTGCCCTTTGACACACACACACACACACACACACACACACACACACACACACAGTAAAATATGTTTTTTTTTCCCCCTTCAGTTTGAGGATGATCTGACATCCTTGTTGTCTTAACACGGCTGCTAAGTAAGAATGGTAAAGAATCAGACCCTTTCTGCTCTTTCTTTCCCTAGCATCAGTTCCTGAAGATTGCCAAGCCCCTCTCCAGCCTCACCCCACTGATCGCTGCAGCCAAGGAGGCCACCAAGAACAGCCACTGAACCACGTCCACCCCAGCATCATCGTGCCAAGCCTTCTAGGAAAGAAACACTCGTTTCAGGAACTCCGATCCTCGTGTCCTCTCCCTCTCGCTTCTCCCATTTCCTGATCTAGTGCTCTCAAGACTTTGACCTTGGAAACCGTGTGTGTAGCACTGAAGAGAACTGTAGCTGGGTGACCGGCTAATCCAGCAATGGCCATTTCTCAAAAGGACTTCCCTTCCAATTTGTGGGCGTGCGGGAGGTGACTTAGGAGCAAGGGTTTACCTGAATAAACCTGTTTCTGCGAAACAGAAATCTCAACCATCCCATTCCTCACCCCTCACAATCAGTTCTTGGCTGTATACATTTATGGTTTGATCGCATTATCAATTTGCAATCAGTCGAAATTTCTTTAGCGTCTTCTTTCTGTGACCAAATTGCCCAAACACCTCGCTGTATTGGAAAACCGTTACAGCTTTGGAAATGCCATGGGGCCGGGTAATCTGCCAGGGACGTGAAGTGGCTCTGTTTCCTGAACCGTGACCTTGGTGCAGCTGATCCCGACATGGGAGAACAACCGTGTTTTTCTTTGTGTGTGCTTCTAGCAGCTGTTCGGGAGAACCGTGGCGCAGTAGTGTCCCCTACGCTATTTCTAGTGAAGTGGTCCTAGCTGTGTAGCAGCTTTTGATTCCCTGCATCCCCTAGGCTGCTGCCTGCATTCTGTTCCGAGTCCTATTTATAGCATCGCGAGATTTCCTAGAGCACAGGACGAGCAAGAGCAGCGCGAGAAGGCGGAGGGAAAGCGCGGCTACTTTTAGCACACGGCCGGGCTTCAGCACCTGTCCAGCTATAGCTCATGCGCTATTTCAAGGTCTCAGCCTCCGTTTCTACCTGGGATAAGGAGCTGGAAGGCGCAACTCAGATCTTTTGGGTAGCTTCACTATTTTTCAGTCGAAAGAAAAGGTCTCTAAATCTGAGATGATGTGCTCCTAGCGATAAAGGGAACCCCTTTTTTATAAATGCATGACCTAGCTCTCTGCAAACGGACATGCTTACTCTGGGTGTTGGGGATATTTGCTACCTCCCGCTTCCTTCGTGGATTTGGTTCTCCCACTGTGGTAGGATGCTTGGCCAGCATTGTGGCTTGTCGTGTCAGCCCCGCTGACGACCTTGTCCTGCTCAGAGGTGCGACTGCCTCAGCAGCACACGTTTCTGTTTCCTTCAATAAAAAGGAAATGAAAATACGATACGTGAAATGTGTCTTTTTCCCCTTCTCACGTTTCTGCTTTCTCCCCACTTCTCATGAAATAATACTGATTCCTCATGAATCCTTTGGAAGTCAGTTTCAGATAAGATACCCCTTTGCGATCATAGACTTCCATTTGTCTTTTCTTTCTAAAAACATTTTAGTTTAGGTATATACCAAAGAACTTGACCAAAACGCAGAGAATTTGGCCAAAATGAAACAAACAATAACGACAAAAATGTGCATTGTTTAAAGAATTATCGTAAACACGCATGTCTTCGGTGCCCATGTAAGAAACAGAGCATGCCTAGGAGCCTAGGACTGTCTCCATCTTGCTGTTCCCTTGTTCCAGCCTCCACTCTGGGTGGGAACCACGACATACTTGGGTGAAATCATGTGTGTCTATACTTTCACAAAATACAAATATATTCCACAGCAGCTCGTCCTGCCAGGTTGGTTTTCCTCCTTCCCCCTCAAGACTGTTTTTAAGAGCTGTGTAATTATATATAGGTCTAGCCTAGGAACTGGGGGTGCTGAATTCAGTATTCCAGCTTAGTTAAGAAGATCACAGACTCGGCCTGAAGTTGAAAGAGAGAACTGAGGAGACCAGATGCAGCAACAGTTGGCCGGCTAAAGTCTAGGCATACCCTGGCTTGATTTTCCTGCCCCGGCTATCTGGCCTCAGGGTGCAGTCAAGGTGTCAGGGGCTGTGTTTCACACATTGCTTGGAGCCCTCTCCCAGGCCCACTGGTGGTTGATAGAAATCACTTCCACCCTAGAGAGCAAAATCTAGAACAAGTTTCTCAACTTTCCTAAGTTGCTGTCCTTTAATACAGTTCCTCATGGTGTGGTGACCCCCAGCCTTAAAATTATTTTCATTGCTACTTGCTACCTGTAATGTTGCTACTGTTAGGCGTTATAACTTAGACTTAGGTTGAGAACGCCTGCTCTAGAGGAAACGTATGATAATGTAACAAATTAATTGAGTATGTTTCATTTTGGCTCACCCACAATATGTATGTCCTTGGGTGTACTATTTAAATCACCTAAACTTCAACTTCTGGATCTGTAAAGTAGGTATAATAACAGTATCTACCTCTGAGTTTCTGAGGAACTAAAATAATTTTTGCATAACATTGGGTACAATCCCTGGAACATGGCAATTGCAGTCCTGTGTTGTAATGCTTGAAGTGACCTGGTTTGTCAAGAGACTGTGCTAATTCTGACTCCCACTGGCACTAAAATAGGAACCTTACATAAGAATCTATATCTGGGAGTCTAAGTTATACTTCAGCATCTTGGTCAACGCGAGTTTCTTATCATAAAATCAACAATCACTTAAACACTGGCCAAAACTTGTGTTTGACTAGGCATGGCATTAAAAGCCTGTAATCCCAGCCCTTGAGAGGCATGCAGGAGAACAGCCTGGGCTATATTTTAATATTGTCACAAAAACCAAACCAAAATAATAAATGTCTAGTCACGGCTGTTTGACAAGACTGTTAAAAGCAGAAGAAGAAAACGGAACCTCCTCTTTTCCCGGCTAAGTTGCTAAGTGACGAAACACCTAGTGTTTGTATCTCATGCCTCTTAGGCTTGGAGTTCAAGTTTCTTTATTACAGTTGTGTTAAAAGCAAAGAATGGCAGGGCATTTGTGGTGCACACACTTTTAATCCCAGCCATCAGGAGGCAGAAGCAGGTGGATCTCTGTGACTTCAAGGCCAGCTTGGTCTAGAAAGCAAGTTCCAAGAAAGACAGACTGGAACAAAGCAAAATCAAAGGATTGATTTTAATGTTCTTGCAGGTAAAAGGAAATTGTGGGAGCTGGGGAGATGGCTCGGCAGTTAAGAGCTCTTGCAGAGAACCTAAATTTGCTTCCCAGCACCAGAATTCAACTCCATCTTTTGGCCTCGTAGGCACCCACACATGTGGCGCACACTCACACAGACATACACATACACAGAAAAAAAATAAAAGGAGATTCAGAGTCAATAATCTGCTCCCCAGGTAAAGACATTGATGCATCCTACTGGCATGCATTCCAAATCACACACACAATAAAGGAAATTAAGAAAGGAATAGCAGATTTTCTTTTAATCAAAGCAGGTGACTTGTCAAACAGGAACCTGCGCATGTTTAACAAAAGCTTTGCCCACGATCTGAGCTGTATGCATTGCTGCACGATGGTTGGGTAGGGCCTGGCACCAAGTCTTGGCCGGCAGGCTGCCAAGAAAAAGAAATCAGAAGCTGGCACAAGACAGGTGACATAAGTGCTCACAAGTACATCCCTTTCTTCATCCCACATTTCTCATTGCGTTTATTTAGACAAATGCCACTTAAGACAACCTTGATGGTTTAGTCATCTTTAGTCCAAGAACTAAGTTATAGCTGGTTTGGAGAACTGCTGCACTCAGTTTCAAACACACACACACACACACACACACACACACGTACGCACGCACGCACGCACGCACGTACGCTTGCACACAACCTAATAAATAAATAAGCGCAAAGGTAAAATGACCCATTGTCATGTCTGAAACAGGTTTGCTTATTTTCCTTTAAGGGGCCAATAAGAGAATTAAGGGGCGATCTGAATAATTTTGCTACAAAATATAGCCACCATGAATTAAGAAAGCAATAAGAACTAAGCTTATTTTAATACACATCATAACAAATCAGAGAGCATTTCCCTTACAAGGCACAATTAAAACATCCTGCTCTGAGGAAATAAATTTGACCCCAAGCATCACCCAACAACAACCAACCAACCACAGGGCTTGGTCCTAAGACTGGCCTGGGCGGGTTTTCCCAGGCAGGAGCCCTGTGCGAGCGTGACCACGCCCTCATGGCGAGTGGCCACGCCCCCACGACGAGTGGCCACGCCCCCACGGCTAGCGGCCCCGCCCCGCGCATGTGCCCTGAGTTCAGCGACTCGCCCTGTAGGTCCTCCATCTTGAGAACCGCTTGCTTGTCTTCCCAGGTGTGAAAAACATATTAGCGTGAAGGGCTGGAAAGCCACCGTAAGTAGCGTGCCCCTTTCTGTGGAACTCCCAAAACATCCCTGAACAGGAAGTTACCGTAGGTTTACAGCCCTCAGTCAAACCCATGTGGCCCAGCCAATGGGATCAGCCTACCGGCCACTTTCAAAGGGCAGAGTCAGGGGACAGGGGCCGAGCTCTCCAGCCCAGGGGTGTCCAGGCTGGCCACTCAGGATGCCACCTCGAAGTCCTCGCAGGGTTGTGTCCCATCTGAGGCTCCCAGCCCTGAGCCGCCTGCCAGCACTTCCTTCATCCCTCTGGTTGTCGAGAGGCATGCCCACTCTCAGTGCCCTGGCGCATTGGGGGGGTGTCTTTTAGACAGAGACCGGACCAACTTCAGGAGAATAGATTTGGGAGGGTGATTCACGGTTGAGTCAGACACATGTTTATCTTGAAGTACCTGTAAGGAATCTAAGTGGAGCGTTCTTCAGGCTGTTGGCATGAATGAGCAAAGAGGCCTAGGGTGGAAACAGATTCACCGATCCCCTGCTGAGTATTAGTGTTTGGTGGGAACTCGGCTACTCTGACTAGTGCATACACTCAAGGCTCCGTGGGCACGTTGAAACGCTAGCGGACATGATTCTGAGAAAAAAAGCTGTCTTATTCGGTGTACAGTTCACCGTTCTCTGACCACAAAGCCCTTGCTCACATCTGCCATTAGATTTTCCAGTATTTGCAACTAGCCACACAGAGATATAAACACACACACACACACACACACGTGATTTCCTCAACTAATTTTTTTCTCATTTCCATTGTGATTATTTTGTGTTGACTTGTGATTTTTTTTATAAGTGTCTTTAATTCCCACATGTAAAATATTCTAGTTGTCTGTTTCTTACAGATTCATGGATACATTTCTCTGTTATTAAAAACCAAAACATTTTGGTTTCTAAAAGCAATCTGGGGGCACAGGCCATTTGGAAATATGATTTTTTAAAAATAAAATATTTTCTTGATGCGTGTGGTGAAGAGATGAGCAAAGAGTGGAGCTGCACAGACAAATCCAAGGACGAGGAGCATCAGATGGCTCGTCATTGTGCATACCCTTTGCAAAAGCCTCGATAGAGGGGACAAACGATCCTTTTATCCCCTGAAAGGCTTAGCCTTCATCTGCGGCCCCTGTATGTTCTCACTAACTCCTCTCCAGGGTTGTGTATATACCATCGGTGTTAGCATGGAGTGTTTGTGCTTGTTTTTTATAGTTGCAAAATATACTAAATCTGGCCTCTAGAAAAAAAATACGTTCTTAAGACATCAATTTCTAAAGGTGTTTGAAGCCACTTACATGGCTTAGTAGATGATAACTTCATTTTTTTTCTGTCCTGAGGACCGAACCCAGGGCTTCACAAATATTATACAAGTATTCTATTGCTGAGCTATACTCCCATCTAGTCCCTTTCCATGTAATCACTGAAATTGTTAAAAAATTCTTATGAATTGTTTTATTAGCTGAATATCTTGTTCTATAAATGTTATTAAGACTAGTTTGTTGTAATCTTGTCTATACACATCTGAAGAAATTCTTCCTTCTGTGTATATGTGTATACACACATGATTGTGTGATTACAGGCGCATATGTACTATGACTCACGTGTAGAGGTCAGAGGGCAACTTTTGAGAGTTCCCTCCTTCCACCATGGGTTCTGAGGAAGGAACTCAGGACATCCACTTGCATGGCAAGAACTTTTGCCCTCTGAACCATCTCGCTGGCCCACATACAATTTTGTTTTGCTTTGTTTTTGTCTGTTCATTTTGTCCTTTATAGGTAGGTAAAGCCTCCTACACAGCGTAACTGTAGATATGTTTATTTCTCCTTTGGAGACTATGTGATTAAGTGCATGTAAATTGAGAACAATTTTTAAAATTATTTTTCATCATCATGTTTTTTTTGTATCCAATAATGCAATAAGGTTTTTTTTTCAGTCTTATATTTATTGGGTCGGTTCTTTAGTAGAGTAGACTGCCTCCTTTGGCCTGAATTCTTCACCAATCAAGTCCACCTCTTTTAAAAGTCTATTTCTATTTGTTTCTGTGTTTGTGTGTTGCGTAGGGTGAACACTGGCCTTTCACATGCTGAGGAAGGGCTCTACCACTGAATCACATTCCCACACCCTTTTTCCTTTCTGTTTCAACAAAGGAAACTTTGGTGCTTGGCTATGTAATTGTACATTTCCTCTTAGCAGTTTCAGAGTTTGGGTCTTATATTAAGATTTAGACTTAGTTTTCTGCAGAGTGAGAGAATAGTATTTAGTTCCGTCCTTCTACATGTAAGATACCCAGCTTTGTCATCACCCTTTATGAAGAGGCTCTTTTCTTTCAATGTACGTTTTTAGCATCTTTGTCAGAAACCAGTTGGCTGTAGCTGTGTGGGCTTATAACTGGGTCCTCGTCCTATTCTGTAGATCAATGCGACGGTTTCTGTGTCGGTACTATGCCATTTTTATTACTACGGCCGACCTGAACTATGACTCGAAATCAGAGAGATCCCCACGAGACAAGGATGTCCACTCTACTCCTATTCAGTGTAGGGCCTGACTAGAAGAATAGGTCAAGAGAAAGGTTCTTCTTTCTCAAGGTTGCTTTGTTTACACGGGGTCTTTTGTGGTCCCATATGAGTCTTAAGATTGTTGTCTCAGTCTCTGTGAATAATCATGTTGGAATTTTGAGGAGGTGTAGATTGCTTTCGGAAGGACGACAGTTTGCACGCTATCAGTCCTCCCCGTGTATGATCACGGCAGGTCTTTCCGTCTGCTAGTGTCTCCCACAGTTCCCTTCTCTAGTGTTTCAAAGCTTTCACTGCAGCGGTCTCCCACTTACCAGAATTTTCTAGGCCACTAGGAGTAGAGTTGTTTCCTCTTCTCAGCAGGCCTCTCCCTGGCTTGTAGGAAGGCTGCTGCCTTTGGTCTCTGGTTGCATCCTGCTGCCTTGCCGACAGTGGCAGCTTTAGCATCTTCACAGTCTTCTGACATCTCAGACATCGTCTGAGAACAGGGGATTTGAACTCTTTTTCCTACTTGTATCCATTTATTCCTTTTCTTGTTTTCCTGATCTTGGTAGAAATGTCTTGAGTTTTTCTCAATTTCCTATTATATTGACTGTGGGTTTGTTATAGAAAGTATTTATGATGCCGATATACACCCTCTATTCCTAGTCAGGAAGGGATGTTAGACTTTGTCAAAGACCATTTCTTCATCTCTTGAGACGATCATGTGATTCCTGTCTTTGAGTCCATTTGTGTGTTGATTTGTGTATGTTGAACTATTCCTCCTTCCTTGAATGAAGCCAAGTCCATCATACTTAATGTACTGTCTGATGTCTTCTTGAATTCAGTTTGTAAGTAATTTGTTGAGAATTTTTTTCATTTTTCTTCATGAAGGAGATTGATCTATGATTTTCTTTTTATGTTATATACTTAATAAGCAGTTTGGTAGTGATCCTTTCTGTTCTTCTTTATGAATAGTTTGAGAACCATTGGTTTTAGTTCTTCTTTGAAGGCCTGGTAGATTTCAGCAATGAATTCATCTGAGTGTGGAATATTTTTAGTTGGGAGAATTTTTATTTTATTTTATTTTATTTAGGCTTCAGTTTTGTTGACTTTTATACATAGATTTTGTTGTGGTTTGAAAGAAAATGGCCTCCCAAGGGAGTGGCACTATTAGGAGGTGTGGCCTTGTTGGAGTAGGTGTGGCCTTGTTGGAGTAGGTGTGGCCTTGTTGAAGTAGGTGTGGCCTTGTTGGAGGAAGTGCACCACTCACTGTGGGGGTGGACTTTGAGGTCTCTTTTGCTCAAACTTGGCTCAATGTGGCCCTTGGTGCACTTGCCAGAGCAAGACCCCAGATACCTTCTATCCCTTTCAGACTTACTGCTTTAGAACAGGATCTCTTACTGAGCTCGAAGCTCACTTTTTTGGGTAGGTCTCCACCAGTGCTGTGGTTACAACTGCACACAGCCCTGCCCACCCAGCTTTTTACATGGTGCTGAAGCTTCACACTCGGATCCACAGGCCATGCTTGCCGAGCCCTGCTCTTCCTCACTGTGCCAACCCGCAGACCCATATGGAGCTGTTGTTCAGCTAGTGGGTTTCTCACTTCTGTTACTATAGCTGGGCTTCTCTTCAGTCTTCCTATGTCTCTGTTGGAATCCATTTCCATGTCCTATGTTGAATTTCTTACTTCATTCACTTGTTTGTGTTCTTTAGGAACGCATTCAGAAATCTGTGTCTTCTTTGTTTTCTTTGGATATACTTACAATCGTCCTTTTGAATTATTTGGGATTTTTGTCTAATTCACTCTCACTGGAGGTCATCGCTTTGTGAATTGTTCATTTTGGAGGAGTTGCACTTTTAGGGTGAAAAGTGCCAGGAAAAAAACACTCTGTCCCTAACTAGACCTGAGACCCGGGCGGAGGACAGACACCTGCCCCTGACTGGACCTGAGGCCCGG